GTCTCAAAAAAAAAAAAAAAAAGTATAATCAGAATTAGTAATTCCTTCTTGCACCCATATGAAATTAGTAATCAGAATTAGTAATTTCTTCTTGCACCCCCCCCCCCGAATTGACCACTGAGAACCAGCAGGGTAGAGCTCCAGGTTCTACTGACTCTGCCTTCTTGCAGTGAGGGATATCTGTGTGGGCACACCAGTGGGTGGGTCTGTGTGACCTGGGAAAACGGCCCACTCTGAGTCCCGATTTCTACTCAGTCAGTGCTAAGGTAAAAATACGCAAAACAAGTTGGGTACAGTGGCTCACACCTCTAATCCTAGCATTCTGAAAGACCAAAGCCAGAAGGATAACTTGAGCTAAGGAGTTTGAGAGCAGCCTGAGGAAGAGTGAGACTGTCTCTAGAAAAAATAGAAAAAGTAGCCAGGCATTGTGATGGGCACCTATAGTTCCAGCTACTCAGGAACCTGAGGCAGGAGGATCTCTTAAACCCAGGAGTTTGAGGTTGCTGTGAGTTAGGCTGACACTACACCACTCTAGCCTGGGGCAACAGAGTAACACTCTGTCTAGGCACAGGGGCCATGCTGTCAGCATTTCTACCTTTAGACACAGTCAGCGCTGGAGACCACTGAGACCGTAGGATGTCAAGGCAGATGCTGCCATTACTGTTGATATTGGGGTGATAAATTTTGGTTGTGAAAGCAACCTGCAGAGACAAGAGATCTCAAGTCAGACAAATCACAAGAACACCTGGAAAATGAACTAAGGAAAGCAGAGGGAGCCACTACTGTGCTCTACCTGGAGTGTGCTGTGTACCTGGGTGAGCTGGGTGCCCACCCCCAAACCCTAACAGGATATACAAAAGGGTGATCACTCAGGAGACATTCCCAAATCCATTCCCTGCTGGATTCTCATTCCGAACATAGGGGAAGTTTTTTTAATGCTATCATTCAGAAATGGGAACCATCTCCCCCAAAGTAGTGGGCCCTGAGGATTAACAAGAATGGTGGAAAGGACTTAAAGCTCAGAAGTTCTATGCAAAAAACAATGACACTAATTGCTGGTAAAATGAGGAAACACAGTCACTACATGGAACGGGCCTAACAAAATTCACTTTTTGTCCCTTGCTTAATCACTTATTTTGGTCTAGCTGGCTTGGACATTACTTGATTATTTTGGTCATCAAGTGGTCTTGGTTGTGCACAAGCATAGACATAAGACATCAGCATAATGATGTCTTAATGTGCATAAGACATCAGCAAAAAAACCTGGGCCACAGACCCTCTGCCAGGCCACAGAAACTTTCCTATTTCTAGATTGCCCTTCTCAGAACTTAGCCATCAAATACAGTTGCACATTTCAAATATGCAAGGACACTCACTGTAGCAAAAGATGTGAAATCATGTAAATGGTGTCCAATTGATTATTGGTGAAATTAATGTTATATATGCAAAAGAACATTATACAACTGTTTAAAAAGAATAAAGTGGACGTGGCGCCTGTGGCTCAAGTGGCTAAGGCACCAGCCACATACACTTAAGGTGGTGGGTTCGAATCCAGCCTAGCCCCACCAAACAATGACAGCTGCAACCAAAAAAAAAAAAAA